TTCCCATCAGTTTGCTTTTCGCTTAAAACACTGTCCAACAAGGACTTCGAGTCGTTGATCATCTATCAGCAGCCCGAGAAAACAAGCAATACTGTTCGGGTGCATTTCTGGACATAGCACAGCCTTTTGACCGGTTATGGCACCAAGGGCTGTTCTTCAAGCTTAAAATCCATCTCCCTCAGCCCTTATACACAATCCTTCGATCCTATCTCTCTGACCGCTCCTTTCGAGTACGCTGTGCGGAACAGCATTTTCCGATATTTATTCCAATATAGCCGGTGTTCCCCATCCTCTTTATCGCTGGCATCTCTGCTCATTCCGATACCTTCCTTGCAACATTTTTTGATGAAACCGCAATCCCATCATCAAACTCAGATCCCGAAATAGGATCCATAAATACAAAGACACCTTTCCCTTATTAAACACTGGTGGAATAAATGGCGCATTAAAGTGAATGAATCTAAACGCAAACTTATTACCTTTACTCTTCGACGCAATTCCTGTCCACAAGTACACTTTAATTCCATCCAGCTTCCTTCTTCATACACAGTCCGGTATCTTGGCTTTCTCTTGGACCGAAGACTGATATGGAACACACACCCTAGACTTAAAAGACAAGAACTCAATCGACGATATGACCAGCTATACAGACAGCTATATATGAACAGAAAATCTCAACTTTCAATTGACAACAAATTACTATCTACGATAACGATCTACAAGACAATAGTGAAACCTATTTGACCCACGGACTTTGGAGGGACAGCAACATTTTCTAACATCAAACGCATTCAATCCTTTTAGTCCAAAGTCCTTCGAACAATAGTTGATGCTCCGTTCTATGTAACCACCGAACCATACACCTTAATACCCCATTTGTTCTAGATCCCTGAAAAAATTTCCGAATTCCATCAAAACCTTACATATCATCCAAATTCACTTGCACAATCCCTATCTAGCTCTACCCATCTCTACAATCCTCCTCGAAAATTTAAGCGCAGTGGCTCATAGACCTATTGTAAGAATATATTGGAGTTCTGGCGATGACCAGATTCTCCACTCAAGCCATGTATGTCTGATTATAGCGCCTTTTCTCAGCCTCTACTGGTCCTTAATGTCAGTAATGCGGCTGAGTGAGAGGCGCTGGATTCTCCTAGAGTCCTGCCTTTCCTTCCACGAATAGGGAGAAAGGCTTGGCTCGGAGATCTTGAGTGAATGAATTTTGTTAATATTGTATAAAAGTATATATAAACATGTGTTTATTTAAGTAGTTAATTTGATTAGTTTAGTTTCTTTTAGTTTATATACATTTACTTTTAGTATTATTATTTTGCTGTTTTTTTATCACTATCACTAACGTCATTAGAAGTGGCAGGCCAGATTGCAATATATCTCAATAAAGAATTTCTAAAAAAAAAAAAAAAATAATAATACATTCAAGATAATTTGGTTTTTCCGTTTGAATAGTGGCTTGATTATTATTATCTGATTTTATTAGGCACTCAAATATTTCATCTGATTTCCTACTGATCTGCGGTACATTGATATAATTAGAAGCAAATTAATTAACATCTTCGGATGAGAGCGACGTTCAGGATGTTCATCCTGTTTTTCAATAAAATAATTAATAGTTAGCTCCGATTCTTTTTTACTTTTTATGATTTTATTTAGCCCTAATTCGCCTAACTTTTTATGTTTTATAAGGGACTCTTCTTCTTCAATTAATAATTTATTAAATGTTTTATCGCGTTTAAACATTTTATTTATTTCTGATAGTTGAAGCGGCAATGTTTCAATGCCTTCTTCAGAATGAGGAATAATCATCTCATAATTAATTTCTTTTGTCTTTCCACTATTTATGGCAAACGATTTTCATTTCTTTTTTTTTTCATTATTAATATTTTCATTTATAAACTTTTCTACGTGTTTAGTTTGTTATCTTTAGTTTCTGAATTATTATAAGCTGGTTCTAAAAAATTTCAATTATAAAACAAAACAACCCGCAGCAAATTCTTACACGCAGTTTAATGCCCAAATTAATAAACGACCTTTTTAATTCAACTCTAGTTTCGAAAAAGATCGAAGAATTCTGGAATGAGAAGAAAAACTTCAACAGCTATATTTATCTGAACATTTTTTTAGAACCAGCTTATAATAATTCAGAAACTAAAGATAACAAACTAATCACGTAGCAAAATTTATTAATGAAAATATTAATAATGAAAAAAAAGAAATGAAAATCGTTTGCAATAAATAGTGGAAAGACAAAAGAAATTAATTATGAGATGATTATTCCTCATTCTGAAGAAGGTATTGAAACATTGCCGCTTCAACTATCAGAAATAAATAAAATGTTTAAACGCGATAAAACATTTAATAAATTATTAATTGAAGATGAAGAGACTCTTATAAAATATAAAAAGTTAGACGAATTAGAGCTAAATAAAATCATATAGAGTAAAAAAGAATCGGAGCTAACTATTAATTATTTTATTGAAAAACAGGATGATGATAATTTAAAGGTATTCTTTTTATTAGTGCCTAGAATAACAGTTAAAAATCATTTCATTATAATTATAATATAGAATGTATAAAAAGTTTTTCCACTTCTAAGCATATAAATGTTTATACATTTTACTTTATTCAGTCTTAGTTTAATGTTTTGTCCGTTTCGATCTTTCAAATGTGCCCAAATAATACATGTAAAAAATACTTATCATAAAGTTAATGGTTTACAATATATTTACTAAATAAAATTACAATTGATTAAGTATTATTTATTTCATAAACTCAAGCAATGTAAACCGGCTTAAGGCAGATCAGTGTAAACATTTCAATACCCACTAATATTGCTGATCAAAACCTTTTGACATAGCCTAATTTTGTCAAACAATAATTTCTGTTAAAAGTAGAGGTAATAGTGAAGCTTGTGTGATGAAGGCAACACAATTTCTTACTTTCACTTAGCTATATTTTTTCTATCATGTATCGCTTTCTGACACAAGGATATGTACCCGTAATCTTACATTAGAAATTGAATAGCTGTAACTTCGTTAATAGTTGTCCGAAATGTCTACTGCTTTTTCGGATTCAGGGGGCTTTGAAACGTATAGATCCGTCGAAAACCGCAAATCGGAAATTTGATCTGATCGAAATACTTTCCATACATAGTATAGATAGGAAAGTAATAAACTAAAACATATGTAGAAAATAGAAGACGCTGTACCATCGCTAATACAGGTTCGATTCGGATGATTTTTTTTTTTTTTTTTTGGTAATTTAATTACCTTTTAAAAGTTTTATTATAAATTTTACCATAGAATATGTAGCATATTCTAAATTTGATATTTTTGGTATTTTAGTGAAATGTAGATTAGTTCATATTTTCTATTGCAATTTAATTGTCTAAATCATATGGTTGAAAAAGAACATATGTTATTACTAGTTAGTATGTAAACAAGTTGTTAGTTGAGTTAATAAATGAATTAAAACATTTATTTTTATTTATATGTTAAGAATATATTAATTAGAATATATTAATAGAATATATACAGCGAGTTTGGGTCCAAAACATTTTTCTTTTCTTTATAACTTTTTTCCCGGAATTTTTTCGGGAATTAAGCCCATGTACGAAAATTTAAAAGACAATTATTAGAACATTATAGGATAGTTGCATCGAAATCATTGGAGCCGTTTTCGCGCTACAGTCTATAGAAAAACATGTTTTTCATTTATTGCGCAGCACCTATTGCGCATGGAGAACTCAATAAGTGTCACAGGCATCAGTAATCAAAGCCCTACAAAATAATAAAGGAGTAACAAAATCGGTCCACTAGTTAACTTGAAAATCTTGCCACAGACAAACAGACCAATGGCTAAAAATGTGTTTTTCGGTCTCTGAAACGTATAGATCCGTTGAAAACCGCATATCGGAAATTTAACCAGATCGCAATACTTTCCTTGGTAGGAAAGTAAAAATGTATAGTAATAACATGAGTATATTACTAGAATTATAAGCAAATCTACAAGAAAATAATACCTATTTCGTTAGGAAGTTTGTTTCCATAAAAGGAATTAAGCAGAGCTGAAGATGATATCGAAGTACAGACGATGATATCGAATATTTATAAAATAGTACTAATAATTTCAGTCAGTTTATACAAGTGATGCAATCAATAATACTTGCAAAGTAATAGTTTTAATTATTATTGGAATAACTACCATTACATTTTAAAATAAATATTAACACCTTTAAAAAGTATAATAAATTAACTGACTAACTTTAAGCATTATCCATTTTTATCCTTAAAAATTCATTCCAAGGATACAATATATTGTTCTTATTTATCAATAATTATAAATTATATTGAAAAAATAAAAATAAGTTTTTGTGCAATTTTTTTTTAGTTTTACATCAAAACCCTTTAACTTTAAAATTAGTTGTTGCAAGATAAATGTGGTTTCATTTAGTATAGCCTGTAAAAAATGAGCATTAATAATTTATTTTACAAATTATTTAAGTTTTATTTATATGTATTTAATTAATTTAAAAACTTAATAGGATGAAGGCAAGAAAATTCATATTTTAATAATCAATATTTGAATAATAAATTTAATTCTATTTAGGGGAAACTAAACTAGGAAAAAATAGTAATTTTATTTAGTAAATATATTGTAAACCATTAACTTTATCATACTTATTTTTTACATGTCCTATTTGGGCACATTTGAAAGATCGAAACGGACAAAACATTAAACTAAGACTGAATAAAGTAAAATGCATAAACATTTATATGCTTAGAAGTGGGAAAACTTTTTATACATTCTAAATTATAATTATAATGATATGATTTTTAACTGTTATTCTAGGCACTAATAAAAAAATACCTTTAAATTATAAAAATAAAAATCTAGTTATGATTTGATTTTTTTCTCCAAAGAAAAATAACTTTAAAATTCAATCATTGATTCAAAATATTATTTAAAATTGAAGTGTTTACCTCGATGTAATAGTTCTTATCATCATAGCCGTCAAGTTTCTTAATGTTCGTCACTTTCATACCATAATTATCCTTTATCATATCTTCTAAGTCTTTGGATTCGAGATTGGGAGGCCTAAATCCTTGTTCTGGTTCCATCCTACACTCACTGATAGCCAGCCGGCCTTGAATAGATTAAAGAGGAAGCAAACATTACTCTTAGTCTATCTCCTTATCGTCAATATAAACAAAAAGCGCATTATAGGTCTCTTGAAATTGGGATAAATTGATCCACGAACAGTTTGTTCAGCCAAGTTTACGTCGTCATTGCCGATTAACGATATAGTATATATTTACGATTAATGAGTATCGTGAACGTGGATATTCACTCAAATACTTTTTATTATTACGGCGAGAAATGTTCTAAAATTAAATCTCAAACTTTCCACCCAAGCACAGCGAATTTCAAACGGTTTTCTATTTCATTGCAATTGATAATTCGAATTTTATTAAATTTCATTGCTGGTAAGAAGGAAAGATCCAAAGATAGGTCGAAATTATTGCCTGCATTAGATTAATATATGTAAATTTAAACAGAAACTTTTATTCACCAAATGCAAAGCTATCAGTAACTAATACTATGAAATCTAGAAAGGAAAATTAATTAGACAATTATTAAGATGATTAGTCTACAGACCGTGCACCCCTTCCCCTCCCCATCCTTATAAATTGCATATCGTTGACTTTGCAATTATTTATTTAAAAAAAAAATGTTTCCACAAAAAAAGTGACCGCACTACTCCAAAATGGGGTCCAAACATGGTGGACTGACGGCTTTGACTTAAGTTCGTTTTTTGGTCAATGGGAATCAGCATCTGGCTTCATTTCGTTATAGTTGGCCTTTCATTAAATCTGGATAGTCAAAAAATAATAAAAATTAAACAAATATAAAAAAATAATTGGCTTAGGCAAAAAAGATACCAGTAAAGTAATTTGTTTCAAAAATACGTTTTTCAAGTTGAAAATCAAGCGTCGTTTGTAAATGAACGGCCAACAATAACGAAAATGCCCTAGAATTAAACATCTGGAAAATACATTTCTCTTTCGAAAACACTGATTAATTTTTAAAATATTTGAAACGGCTCCGTAGAAAATGCACTCAGCGGTAGTGGCGCAGGCGCCTACAGGCCTCCGCCGCATCATTTAGTACTCATAAATGGCATAGTTATGGTGTTATAATAACTTGTTTCCAGCATTATTTTGGTTTTATTAACGAACAAGTATTATTTAGCCAACGAACAAAGAATGGCGTCAATTTGCCATGTTTGGACGCCATTTTGGGGCAGTGCGGCCAATTTTTTGTGAGATCATTTGCTTTTTTTTTTTAATAAATAATTACAATGAGATGCAATTTATAGGGATGTGATGGGGGTGCACGGTAGGGGGTATAATCATTCTTATTATTGGTGTTAATATGTATTAAAATATGCTGTGAATGTGCTCTCTGAACTCTATTATAAGTGTCCTTTATTGAGACAGATTGTAATTTTATCAATAAACAAGTAATCTAAAAAAATATGTATTAAAAAAATTTATTTTAATAAAAAATATTATGACGACAATGACATAAAAATATTTTTTTTACCAAACCCATTCAATATTTATAATCGTTGTTATCTAATAAATAGGATCCGGATTTGAACATCTAAATTTTCCAAGGAATAGATCGTAAAAATAAATTTTTACACCTAAAAGTTCTTAAACCCTTTATTAAAAATAGTATCTAGTATAAAGTAGTATTTGTAGAATTTAAATATTATTTAATATTAAAAACATGAGAGAAAAACCTGATTAGGAAAATTAAACCATGATATTTACAAAAATTAGAATTTTAAGAATTAACTTTACTTTATAACAAAAACAGTATGTTTCTCAGTATAAATTCCATCTATTGATTGAAATCAGCGGTGGAAAGGGATTTCAACTGAGTTCAGGAACGAACTGATGGGTTCCATCGGAAGATTAGCACGGTGCCGGCCTTATGGTGGGGCAACCGGGGCAATGGCCCCAGACGCGCTAGCTGGTTTTAAGGGCACTTGCCACCACGGGCGGATCTACGGGAGGGGGGGGCTTTCGGGCTGAAGCTACCCCCCCCCCCAAAAATGGTAAAGTATAACCATGTTTTATCGAAAAAAATATTTAAAAATTATCTCTTAAAGTATTATTGTTCGTGTAATTACATTTAAAAGAGCTTTAGGAATCACTTAAACACCATTTCATACAGATAGTTAGTTTATTTCTTTTTTCCCAAAGTAATTATCGTTATTTTTATGAAAAAAAAAAATTTCGGGCTGAAGCCCCCCCCCCAAAAAATAAATCCTGGATCCGCTAGTGCTTGCCACTTATTAGATTAAGAAGGTTACTAAACACATAGAAAATAAAAAGAATTGCGAAGGAAACCTACTGAATGGTTGTATTTCAAAACATCTACAGTGCCATCAAAAATTTTCATACACGGGCTAATAAGAGATAGAACTATCAACAACAATTCTTTCCTACATATTATAGCATTTCCAAGTCAATTTCAACCTTTTCCAAGTCAAATTCAACCTTTTCCAAATCAAATTAAACTTTTTCGGAGTCAAATTCAACCTTTTCCATTTCAAATTCAACCTTTTTTTTATTTATTTAATTATCTTTAATTTTTCGATGTGTGGGTCTGTTATCGTATGAGTAGTTTTTGAAAATAACTTCCATTTTAAGATTACGTGACTGTGTTCCGAATTATTTAAGTTTTTCGGATATTTTTCATATGAGGGTGTATTTCTATGTTTCCGGAGCTGTAGATTTTCAAAATGACCTCCATTTTATGATTACGCAATTGCATTTTGACTTATTTAAGTTTTTCGAATTTATTCAATTTAAAGGTCTACTTTTATGTTTTCGGAACCGTAGATTCTTAAAATGACCTCTATTTTATGATTACGCCACTGCGTTTCAACTTATTTAAGTTTTTGGAATTTAACAAGTATAAAGGTCTAATTTTATGTTTCTGGAGCAGTAGATTTCCCCCATTTTGTAAATTACCCAATTTCAAGTTTATGCCACTGTGTTTTAGATTATAAAAGTTTTTTTTTTACTTTTTCGGTATAAGGATCTACTTATATGCTATCGGAGACGTATTGAAATTTTTCTAATCTTTAATATTTAAATTTATCTAATATTTAAGCTCCATTTTACGATTAAGCCGCTGGATCTCAATTAATTAGCATTCATTTTGGATTTTTTCAATACAAAGTTTCATCAATATGTTTTCGAGTATGAATAAATAAATAAATATTATGGAGCTAAAGTTAAATTAACCACAGAATACAAACTAAAAAGCCGAAAAGCAACTGGTAATAAATTTAACCTATCGTATTCAGATTTTTCAGCTAATTGTTCGAAATCTTATAATTTTGTGACAGGAGACCACAACAATAAAAAAGATAACTAAAATTAAATTAAAAATGATACAATACATATTTTATTTATTTTGATTAGATATTTTTATTTATTTATTGAAAAATAAATTAATCCTTCGTATTTTGTTTTTTATTCGAAGGAAAAATAAAAACACTTAAAAAAACCGAAACACAGTGGCCTAATCTTAAAATGTAAGTCGTTTTAAAAACTAAGGCTCCGGCATCATAAAAGTAGACCCTTAAATTGGATAAATTCGAAAAACTTGAATAAGCCGAAATGCGGTGGCCTAATCTTAAAATGGAGGTCGTTTTCAAAATCTACGGCTCCGGAAACATAAGAATACATCCTCATATAAAAAAAATCCGAAAAACTCAAAGAAATCGAAACGCGGTGGCCTAATCTTAAAATGGAGGTCGTTTTCAAAATCTACGGCTCCGAAAACATAAGAATACACCCTCATATCAAAAAAATCCGAAAAACTCAAATAAGTCGAAACGCGGTGGCCTAATCTTAAAATGGAGGTCATTTTCAAAATTTACGGCTCCGGAAACATAAAAGTAGACCTTTATATTGGATAAATTCTAAAAACTTAAATAAGCCAAAACACAGTGGCGTAAACATAAAATGGATGTCATTTTCAAAATTTACTGATCGGGAAACATAAAAATACACCCTTATATCGAATAAGTCAAAAAAACTTAAATGATTCGAAACGCAGTCACGTAATCTTAAAATGGAGGTTATTTTCAAAACTAGGTACAGGACAGCATAATACTAGTCCCTAATAAATCCGAATAGGTACAATAAATCGATATCCGTAAGTGAAAATTCTACTTAGGAGAGCATAATAATAGACTTTCATATTGGAGGAGGGGAGGGGATGGCCATTATTTTTTAAAAAATATAAAATTTACAAAAAATTAAAACATTAATTTGAAATGAAAACGGTTGAATTTGAATTGGAAAGGGTTTAATTTGAAATGGAAATGGTTGAATTTGGCTTGGAAAAAGTTTAATTTGACTTGGAAATAATTGAATATGACATAGAAATATCACACTGAAAAAAAATCTAAAATGTTAAAATAAATGGATATGCAATCGCGTTATCAAATTTTTTTTTGTATTTTTCAAAAGCTATGCCTTCGATAATATAGTAAGTGTCCTTCATTTCGAAAAAGATCGAAAATTGACAAAAATTCGAAAGTTGAATTTGAAATAGAAAAGGTTGAATTTGACTTTGAAAAGGTTTAATTTAAAATGGAAAAGGTTTAATTTGACTTGGAAAAGGTTGAATTTGATTTGGAAAAGGTTGAAATCGACTTGGAAATGCTATATATATATATATATATATATATATATATATATATATATATATATATATATATATATATATATATATATATATAAATCAAACGCCTAAATATAAATGTGATACCACTCTTATCGATTTTCTAAGAAGTATTTGCATAACAATTAATGCATGTATTTTTATGACAAATTAAAGTTAGGTACAATAAAACTTTGTATGCAGAAAAAAAATTCAAATATTAAAATTAATAGTTTGAAAGCAGTAGTTCGTTTTAGAGTATCATTGAGGAATTGATCGGATCAATTTTGAAGTCAATTGGGAGAGTAATTTTCCCCATAAATTTAATTTTAAGGTTCGTTTTTGCTCGTTATAGCCTTGAAGAAGATCTGCATAGTTGGCTCGAAACGTTGGCTTAATATAAAATAGTTTTTAATAACTGCCACGCTGGA